AGACTGGTATCTGGCCTATTTAGTGAAATCAGACATCTGAAGTCTCCTTAACTTTAACACTAACCAGACACTCTGGCTTCAGCCTAGCTGCCTGACCCATGCTGCACTCAGTAGGCTTAGGAGTCATTTGGATGTGGAGACACTAGTTTCAAAGCAAGGAAAGAAAGAAGGAGTGGTTGATCTCCACCTTCATTTTGTAATATAGTCTTAATGTCACTGATATTGCCCTAAACTGTGGGTTTGCTTAGTGAGTCCCCCATTTATGGGGAAACCTCTGGTGCTTTCTGGATGATACTGTAGTGTCATCAGAATGGTTTAAGGAAAATTTTACCAGTTCAGTAAATCAACACTTTTCAGCCTTTTGAACACAGTGTCCTTGTCTTATTTTTTTTCATGTATTGACTATGAAGATAAATATCAATTGAGTATCACATAACATACACATGTCTGCTAAACACTGTGGTTGGGTTTATGACTTGTACAATAATGATGTTCGCATTTGAATAGTACATGTGCTGTGTGCTCTTTGCTGGCACACTGTGAACCTCGCACACTGTGATTTACAACATTTTATTTGCAGGTGATTTGCATGGTCTCCAACGCTATTACTGTCTTTTTCATTCACTTAGCTCGCAGTTGTTAAATCAGTCCCTACGTCACATTTACATGAATGAACCTCCACCGTGACCTGACAAATCGAACTCTGCAGCACAAATAATTTTTTTGATGTAACACTACTGCAAAAATGATTGTCAGATGATATTATTCAGGCCATTTGCTTCCCTTCCAATAGGCTCCCAACTCAGTGCAACATGCAGATGCATTCAGCTCTGTGTGACTGAGTGCCAGAACTGCCTTTGCGGCCTAGTGCACATACAGTACAGACTAATGTTCCTACATGCATATTGTCATGCACCAGGGCCACGCACAAGCAAACATGCGCCCTCGGTACACCCCAACTAATCATCAAGATAAACCTAACTAATCTTCCTATTATCTCATATTGCATGAGAGATGAATGGAGATTTGTTTTCATACTTGGCTCTTAAAAATGTATGTAAACACGTCTGTGATGCACAACAGAGATGTGGGAAATAAACATTTTGCATAAGGGCAATTGACAAGGAGTTGAGAAAGTTCAGAAAAGCCGTTGGCATTGAGGATATGTATTAGAATGAATCAAAGTTTTATTTTGTCTTTCATGTATTTTATACAGTATTTACACCTTTGTCAGATGATCTTAGTGTTTAGATATTTGCTTGTTTCACCAGTTCCTCATAAGGACAGGTAGATGAGTGTTACGAAAATGGTAGATTAAATCAATATATCTAGTCATATCTCTAAGTTATGTATGAATCATTTAGCCTTTAGCAAGCAGTGCAATGTATAAACTTTTTGCTGCCTTTCATTTTTGATTAGATAACATAAAAAATGCAGCTCATTTCAGGACCCAAACAAGCAGGATCTTGCTTTTTTAAAGCTTTGGCTTTACAGTAGTGAGGGTTTGTCACTGTGTACCACATATGGTACAACATGTCTTCTCACCATAAAGCACAAGCAACTAACAAACAGATGGGCCCTATTATTCCTAACAATAACCACAGCATCTCCTAAGTGACAGTGGTATCTTGAATGTGCAAGGTCAACCCCTTCTGGGTAGGGATATGTGTATAGGGGGAGTGTTCTGCTTTTGATACCTTGATGCCTTTTCCATCTTTCTCTTTACTGAGATTGGTTGGTACAAATGTCCAAGGTAGACAGTGGGTTATGTTGAGGATATATAGTGAAAAATATGAACAAAGTAAAGCACATATTTGCCTCAAGCACAAGAGAAGGACAAGTGCATAACAAAGGATTAAAAGAGGAATAGGGGGACAAGTGTGGAGAGATTTGAACTGAAAGGGGAAGGGTTGTGTGGGTGTTTGTGTATGTGCCTGAGTGTTTCATTCCTAATGAGATGGCCCCATACAATGGCTGAATTGAAGGTTGTGAGTCCTTTTAAGAAGAAATAATATGACGGGTCACCAGTGTTACCTCACATTATCTTGCTTTATTAAAGCCTCCTAGTCACTGAGCAAAGACAGCCAAGCAGTTACTGTACTTTGTCTTTATTCTGTGGTTTATATTTGAAATTCAACAGGTCATTGAGTTTTCCTTTGGGTCTCTATTGCCTCAAACAGTGTCTTATTGCACTGTACGTTTTTTCATTCCTAATTAAATTTAGCTGTTCTTTTGTATTATATGGAGCTTGTGTCAGTATTTAGTGGTGCGATAGTGATGACACTTTTCTTTATTGTACTCTTAATGTCCTAGTGTTTCCACATGTGAGTGTCTCAGTCATGTTACAGATTTTTTTTTCAGGATTTTATGCAGCGTGATTTAAAGTTTTAAGGTTCAGAAATAGACAAACAAATGATCATTTGGCCAGCTGTTGACCTGTCAACCAATTTTAATCACCTGTTTACAAACTTTAATAAATAAAAGTTACAATGTTGTTCAGGGTCATCCAGTTTACGTAACCCACCTTGTAGGAACCATATGCCTGCACATTGCTAACATCTGACACCCTTCCCCTTCCTCTTCTCCTAACATGTGTTTCTCAGAATCCCTCACAATTAGGGGCCTTGTAGATAAAGTAGTGTGGCGGTCTATTGCATGCATCCTCTGCAGATTACACACAGATCTTTCTCTTGACTCCCCCTGTAACACACTCCAACCACACACCATCACTTGTCATGCATGTTTAGCCCAGTTCACTGACAAGCAACAGGACCCACCAGCTCCAAAAATACCAAAAATGAAATATTCCCTCATGGAATGACAGCATGTTTTCAGCAATTTCATCTGGGTGCTTTTTGTTGAAGCTGCCTCTCTATTCTCAAGTCCACCTCTGTGGCCCATGTATTACAAATAGGAATAAGCAAC